GATGCTTCCTGCTAAATTGCTATAATTGTTTATCTTGGTGCCTGGGGAAGTTAATTCTACCACCAGCAGTCCTGTGTTAAAGGTACCTGAAAGAGCTCATTTAGTAGTTAGGGTGAGGTGCTGGCTTTTATTATCTATAAGTGTGCTTAGATTTGCACTGCATTATTGTGCAACAACCTTATCAAGAGATTTTCTTGAAGATGTTCTTCTACTATCACTCCTGCAGTTGTTGGTGGTGTCAGTAATGGGGTGAGGGAGAGTAGGGATTGGGAAGTGCTCCCTTCTTGTCTCTTATTGAAAAGTCATCCTTGTCTTGTACTCAGCCACTGTCTGTACAGTGGAGCAAAAGAATACTGACAGGGAATTATGGTGCTCCTTTCTCAAGACTGATAAAACTGTTTTGTGTTTCAGCACCGCATGCGCCCTGAAATTGCCCAGCTTATCAGTCCTCATATATACCAGAAGCTGGAGAACCATCCCTCTGTCCTGGAATATGAGAATATAAAAGTGAGTTTTCAGCAATCCAAGTGATTGCTTTTGTCCCCTGTTACTGGCTAAATGAGTAAACTACAGAGTTCAAGGATTTCAAATTCTTAGGTCAAATTCACTTATTGAAATTTTTACCTGAATTGAGGAATTGTGCAATATAGAATTATGTAAGTAATTTGCAGTTCTTCTGGCTTTAGTGATGGTGGACAGTGGAAATAGATCCAATACCAATAACTTTAAAAAAACAGTAAGAAATGCAAGGGGGAACAAACAAAATGGTAGGAGTTTGAAAGCTAGGAAGAAATCTTAAATGAAAGACTTAAAGCATAATATTGAAACTCCAACAAAAAATAGGTGACAGAATTACTGGAACTCTTTTCTTGGTCTCTCCATTTGGGCAATCTACCAATAAACAACATCTGCAAAGAAGATTTATGCAGCTTACAAGTATAAAGTTGTCATTTATCATCTAACATGCACAATAAACAGCCAGGATTTAGTAAGCTATTAGAATGCTTGCCTTGAGTATCAGTCAGAAGTGTCAGTCTTTGCTTCTTCCTTAATGGTACTGAGTTTCCATCTTAACACTCAGTCCCTACTTTCTGATTTGTATTTCCTCAATGAAATGAGGAAATACAAATGAGGAAGCCCTAACCAGGGCTTCATGTATCTCGTGTTGGTGCTTGTCTTGCATCTTTGAACTATTAACAGTCATCTCTATGTAATCCTACCTTGGAAAACCAGAGATCTGCGTTTAATCTACAGAAGCTGTTCTTTCCTATTAAAATCAGTCTCTGGGTTTTGGCAGGCAGAACAATAATTTCTTATGGGTAGAATAATTCCAGTTAATAGGTAAAAATTTAAAAGCCCCTGCTAACTCAAGGATACTAGAGTTTTTGAACAGGTGAGCAGTCAACTCCATACACCATGAGCTGGTAAGTGACTACGGGAGTCCGAGCATTCCTTTACTGTTGAAGAAGAAATTTTCCTTGCTGTTTTGTTTTTATTGCAGCAACAAAGGAAGCGTGTTTTAGGCAAATGCTCAGCCCTGTGCACTGGTAACTTAGTATCTTTTTCCCACTGGCCCAAAACAAGACATTGTTCACACCATGAATATAGTTTGAGAAGTTCCTAACACTTCATGTTTTCTTTGGTGGAACCTGGAAATGTACTGCAAAAACATCTCTGGAAAGATAGGGAATAAAATCAGAAACTGATTTCATATTATGATACCAAAATATTACCAGTAAGCTGAAATGGGAATTTGATTAATAACCTATGGAAATCTCAGAGGAAATCACCTAAGTGATTTCCTAAGTGTGTGTACTACGGTATACAGTAACTGCATACTGTAGTCAACTCATTAAAAGTCCTCCTGTCAGTGGATAATCAGGAACATGGAAACACTCTGGGCTGACAGATACTAGAATTCTCTCTCTGACATCCTTCCTCTTGTTTCAGGGTGTCTCAACTAATATCTTCTTTGTGGAACATGAGGTTCCTGAACAAGAGATCCAGGAAGGGAAAAGCCACCAGAACCCACACGAGGCCCGCTTTGTAGTGGAACTGTGCAAATATTTCTTGTGTCAGGGCTATGAACCTTCTCAGATCACCATTCTCACTACTTACACTGGGCAGCTCTTCTGTCTGCGTAAGCTCATGCCAGCAAAGACCTTTGAAGGTGTGAAGGTTCATGTGGTAGATAAGTACCAGGGAGAGGAGAATGATATTATTCTGCTGTCATTGGTGCGGAGCAACAAAGAGGGGAGACCCGGGTTCTTGCAAATCCCTAATCGGATATGTGTGGCGTTATCCAGAGCTAAGAAAGGCCTCTATTGTATTGGAAACATGAGAATGCTTGGCAAGGTTCCTCTCTGGAACAAGATCATTGAAACCCTTGGGAAGAACGGTCACATTGGCCAGTCATTGGAGCTTTGCTGTCAAAACCACCCTGGAACCAAGACAAAGGTATCTACAGGTGAAGACTTCAACAGCGTCCCAGAGGGAGGCTGTACTCGTCCCTGTGAGTTTAGGTTGAGTTGTGGACATGTTTGCATGAGGGCATGTCACCCATATGACCCAGAGCACAAAAAGTACCAGTGCCTGAAGCCTTGTCAAAAGGTACTTTGTGCAGATGGGCACCACTGTCCAAAATCATGTTATGAGCCCTGTGGAAAATGTATGGTGAAGGTAGAGAAAACAATTTCTAAATGTGGCCACATACAGATGGTGCCATGCCATATTCCACAATGGCAATTTGAGTGCCTAGAGCCTTGCCAGAAGAAGTTAAACTGTGGACACAAATGCAGGCGTTCCTGTGGGCAGCAATGCACAATGAAGTGTCCTGAACAGGTTACAGCCACACTGAAATGTGGCCATGAGCAGAAAGTTTTGTGCTGGATGACTGAGATGGGACATGAGGAGGCCGTGAAATGTGAGACAAAGTGTTCTGTCACACTGGCATGTGGTCATGTATGTTCAGGTTCCTGTCATGCTTGCTTTGGAGGCAGATTTCATAAGGCATGTGACAGCCCATGCAAGCGTGTCTTGATCTGTTCCCACAAGTGTCAAGAGCCTTGTACTACAGAATGTCCTCCATGTCAGAAGGAATGTCAGAACTATTGTATTCACAGTAAGTGCAAAAAGAAATGTTGGGAAAGCTGTGTTCCTTGTGCAGAGCCATGTGAGTGGCAGTGCCAGCACTACCAGTGTACCAAACTTTGCTCTGAGCCGTGCAACAGGCCTCGCTGCAATGTTCCCTGTGCTAAGATGCTGCCCTGTGGTCATCCCTGTGTTGGATTGTGTGGCGAGCCCTGCCCAAAGAAGTGCCTTGTTTGTGACCACGAGGAGCTCACTCAGATCTTTTTTGGCTTTGAGGATGACCCAGATGCTCGATTTGTACAGCTTGAAGATTGTGGCCATGTCTTTGAGTCGCAGGGCCTTGACCACTATATGGATGAAGATGATGATGTCGTCAAGCTGAAGGTATGCCCTATGTGTCAGACACCCATCAGAAAGAATCTGAGATATGGCAGCAGTGTGAAAAGGCAGGTGGAGGAGATAGAACGAGTGAAACAGAAAATCCAAGGCCCGGCAGAGGAAATTGAGTCTAACAGAAAGAGACTGAAGGCTGCACTGGCACAGAATATTTATCTGAGGCATAATCTATCCTCTAAGTATGCCATGCTGGAAGAGAAACTAAAAGCTTCTCCTCTCTCCACAAAGAGTATTGGACTAATTGAGAACCTGCTTAATTTCTACAAACGTGTAGCAGACCTAACTAATTCTCTGAACAAAATTGCCGAGAATGAAAAGAAGGGGCTGGTAAAGAGGCTGGATGAAGTGCAGAAGTGGTTGGACAAGCAACGCATCAGTTTTACAGGACAGGAGCTCGCTGACCTGCAGTCTGAGATCCAGAGACTGACTTACTTGCTGAACCTCTTGGTAAGGTGCAAAGCAAGTAGGATGATATCCACAGACATCGCAGCAGAGATTAACAGTGCACGTGAGATCCTGGAAGGGATGAGGAAATTCACAGAGGAGGATGAGGCTGCAGTGAAGGCTCACCTGAAGAAGATCAATGTTAGCTTACCCGTGTCAGGGCTGGGGATTTCTGAAGCTGAACGGGTGCAGATTGTCACTGCTATTGGCTGTCCCCGTGGCCACTGGTTCAAGTGCAAAAATGGGCATATCTATGTAATTGGGGAGTGTGGGGGGGCAATGCAGAAGAGTACGTGCCCTGAGTGCCATGAGGTCATCGGTGGCACCAACCACGCTCTGGACAGCAGCAACAGCCTGGCCCCGGAGATGGACGGGGCAACCCACGCGGCCTGGTCCGATGTGGCCAACAACATGCTCAACTTCGAGGACCTCCGCCGGCTGATGTAGAGGGCATGAGCCTCGCTTTTTATCACAGACACGCTCGCAGGGGCACAGCCCCGCTGCTTTCCCCGTTTGCTTGTTCATTAATAAACTTGTGTGTGTTGCTGCCAACCGGCCTGGGCTGTCTCTGTGGGGCAGGGCTCTCTCTATGGGGCTGTCTCTGTGGGGTGGGGCTGTCTATGGGGCTGTCTCTATGGGGTTGTTTATGGGGCGGGGCTTCCAATATCTGCTTATTGGGGTACTGTGGATCTGTCTCTATGGGGCTGTCTCTGTGGGGTGGGGCTGTCTCTGTGGGGCGGGAATGGCTCTGTAGAGTTGTCTCTATGGGGCAGGGCTCTATGGGGCTCTCTCTGTGGGGCAGGGCTGTCTGTGGGGTGGGGGTCTATGGGGCGGGGCTGTCTCTCTGAGGCTGTCTCTCTGAGGCTGGCTGTGGGGTGGAGCTGTCTCTGTGGGGCTGTCTCTGTGGGGCTGTGTCTCTCTGAGGTTGTCTCTCTGAGGCTGTCTGTGGGGCTGTCTCTGTGGGGTGGAGCTGTCTCTCTGAGGTTGTCTCTCTGAGGCTGTCTCTGAGGCTGTCTGTGGGGTGGAGCTGACTCTCGGGGTTTGTCTCTCTGAGGCTGTCTGTGGGGCAGGGCTCTCTCTTGCGGGGCGGGGCCGTTCCAGCCGCTCCCGGAGCGGACGTGACGCGCGGGGCGCTCCGGGGCCGCCCCGCAGCGATGGAGGCGCGGGAGCCGCTGCGGGACGTGCGCGGGGCGCTGCGGGCGGTGCTGGCGCGGCTGCGAGGTGCGGGACGGGAGCGGGAGCGGGGCCGGGCGGGGGTCGGGCCGAGCCGGGCCGGCTCCCCGCGGGCTGAGCTGTGTCTGTGCCGTTGCAGAGGGAGAGCCGAGCGAGGGCCGAGAGCCGTTCGAGCTGCCGCGCTTCTGGGACGCGCTAGGTACGGGCGAGGAGCGGCCGGGCCGGGATGCGGGGTGCCGGGGCAGGGCTGCTATCTCCGCCGGTCTCCAGCTGTGGGGCGTGCCCTCCCCTCAGGGAGTCACGGAATCTGCAAGGTTGGAAGAGAGAGATCTTTAATATCATCAATTCCAGCCGTTAACCCAGCGCTGCCTCTGTAAATCCTAAACCACGTCAGTGCCAGATCGAGCTCCTAAACATCCCCAGGGTTAGTGACTCCACCACATGCCAGGCCAACCTGTTCCAGTGCCTGACCACCCTAATTCTGGTCACCAGACACTCCAAGGTGTGGCAAAGCAAAGGCCGGTGTTGAACCGTTCATAAAAGATTTATAAAGGTCTCTGTTAAAGCCTCCTGGCACATCCTGGTGAACCGGTCGTGAACCGGGATGCAGGCTGGGGTTCTGGCTATCACTGCCAGCCAGGTGAGAAAAGGCAGACACAGGACACAAGCAACATGCATGGCACAAATGCAGCAGGGAATTTTTCTTTGTAGTGGGGTTTAGTTTATATGTTTGTTATGGCTGGGGTGTAATGGTAAGCAAGTAGTCAAATGCAGCAGGGAATTTTTCTTTGTAGTGGGGTTTAGTTTATATGTTTCTATGTCTTGCGTGTAATAGTAAGCAAGTAGCAGAATCAGAGCTACTGCTCATCAAGCTGCTCTGTTCTTTTATCTTGTACCTGAGTTACTTTCTCTTCCTTTGCTCGTGTTGGATTTTTTTTTAAGGTCAGACATTCCAAGTAACATCACAGGAAGCTACAAAGCTGAGTCTGGCATTCTCAAGGCCTCCACTCCCTTCTGCAGAGGTGAGAGAAAGCCTTGACAGACTGAAATTGCAGTGTGTGTGCAAGCTTCAGGAATTTCTTGGTTCGTTTGACTAAATGGGCTGTGTAGTGTAGAGTGTATTAATATAATTATTAATATAATCCAAGAGCTGCCCAGAGAACAAATTTCTCTAAGGTAGGGAGATATACTAAATAAAAGTGTTCTTATATTCTTTCACAGCTACAGCTCGTTGCTGATAGAGACAGATTATTGGAGAATAGAGTCCTTAGGTTTAACAAAGAATATGCAATATTTTTGCTATTAGTTGTGAGAAGTTTATCATACAGATGTTCAGAGGAGAGAAAATAAAAGACCTTCAGTTCAGAATAATGATCTAAGTTACTTTTTCCTCTCTGGTGCATGACCATCACAACAGGGAGTGTTTTGTTACTGAATCACAGGGCAGGTTAAGATGCATACAGCTTACTTTTGGTGGCTTCTTGTGCTGTATTTGTTTACTCAGAGCAGTCTGAAAGCCAGTGATTGCTTGTGAGGATTTCTAAATGTGGTGCATCTGTGTGTTACTCATGGGTGACCCTTTTGCCTCTCCGTTTTCAGAACTGCCGGAAGCTGAGTGAGGATGTCCAAAATGCCATTCTTGCAGTTGCCACAGTGTACTACTGGCTACCCAAGGGCCAAGGTGAGCTAGTGACAGCAAGGCAGTCGCCACTGTATAGGATGGTGGTTCTTTCCCCACCACTCTATAGAGAAACCCAGTGTTTCAGAGCCTAATGAGGTCTGGTATCAGCGAGTTTTCATTAACATAGTGTCCCTTTATCAGCTGTTCTGTAGACTTTGGACGTGTTTATGAGTGAGATACTTGTCTGTCTGCTGTTGCAGTTTTCCATTTGTGGGAGAGTGATGATGTAGGAAGTTGTGTAGTTGATTGAGCATTGAAATGTATGAAGTTTTGAAATCCTTGTCTGGAGTTCTTTTGGAACTGGGAAGCATTTTCCTTTCTTCAGAATACACAAAGCTTCATTTGTACAGTGTATCCACACCAACAGAGCAGTGTGTGTGTTCATATTCAGCACTTGCTTTCTGTCAGTGCTGACTTTGTGCCAACTTTCTTGCTCTTTCTCTGTCTCACCCAGGTACTACTCTTCGGAAGATGGTTCGAGATGCTACCACTGAGGTGGTGGAAGGGATGATCCAACTCACAGACACAATTCTCAATGCCCCAGTGGAGAGGTTGTAATTTTCAATTGCATGGTTCTGTGATTTTGTGATAATTTTTGGGAAAAAAGGCAAGAAAAAGTTACAAGTATAGTTGTTAGGGGCAGCAAGGGCTTTACACAGACATGGCATCCTAGTGACAAGCTGGTTGGTGACATCTTTGCAGCAGAACTTTTGCTGGTGTTTATCATCTTTGGTGCAGAAAATTAAACCACAGTCTAGCACAGTGCTGTTATTGACTCTAACCTTGAGGGTTTTGTTTTGTTTTCTTTTAGCTTGTCTCAGGAACAGCTGATATCAACTGGAGGTGTGTGGGAGGCCTGTGAGCAAGTGTCTAATCTGCCACGAGGTGAGTGTTGCAAATGCAGAGCAACAGCTCTAGGATGTACTGTCTTGGAATATCAAAAGCTTTTTCAAGGGCATTCCAGCTGGTACAATGAAGGCTGAATGGAGAATAACTCAAAATTTTGACTGGTTTTGAAATGTATAAGCTTGGAAATCAGGTCAGATTCTTTGCCTGACAACAGTGCAGCTCTGAGCTCTGCAAGAAGTTTGATCCTACAGTGATTGCAAGCCTAGATGGAGGTTGTTGCAAACTGATTTGAAACAGTGGGGTGCCACAGTTTTCATTCTTTTGCTTTTGCAGATAACCAGGCAGCAGTTGTGTCGGCTCTGGCTGCATCTCTAGGTGTGGTCAAGGATGCTGTGGAGGAGATGGAACATGTAAGGAAGCCCCTAAGCCTTAGAGGGACTTGCAATGGTGGATTCATAGACTCAGAATATTCTGAATTGGGAGGGATACACAAGGAGCATCAAGTCCAGCTCCTTGTCCTGCACAGGACAACCCAAACAATCCCACCCTGTGCCTGAGAGTTGTCCAAATGCTCCTTGAACTCTGACAGGTTTGGGGCTGTGACCTCATCTCTGGGGAGCCTGTTCCAGTGCCTAGCCACCCTCTATGGTGGTTCGGTGATGGAACACAGAAATTATTTTACATACAGGCTTTAATATAAATTTGCTCCAGCATGACATAGATTATTGGTTTTTGCATGGATTGTAATGAGGTTTTATTCTCAAGCCTGGTTTACATTGTGTAAGATTTTTGTAAAGCCATGTCCTGAATTGGGGATGGGGGAGGCAATTTAGGATCATGTCAGAATTCACCAGGTTCTTGCTGTTTGCACTGTTAGCATGACAGTTTTTCTTAATCCAGTTCTTTTAGCATTAACCAACTGAGAGTTCTCCATTAATTATTTAAATGATGTCTAGATTATGCTTTCCCTTTGCTCCTGGGTATTACTGGAATTGATGTTGGGCTCTGGGTTTTCAGTGCCTCTGTGTTCTCAGGCACTGGTGGAAGGGCAGGACCCCTATGGGGACATCATGGAAGATGAAGAGCTGGGCTTTCGTGGCAACAGAGACACGTACTGGTCCGAGGCTGACCGGCAGCTGCTCAGCTCCTGCATGGGGTTGATGAAGGCTTCTAAAGCTTGCCTGAAGAAGGGCTTGGCTGCAGTGAAGGCCCATGGCAAAGCTGATTCCCCAGAGCACATTGCACAGCTGGATGACCTGGCAGACATTGCTAATGAGATCAGCCCAAGGTAAGCAGGGTTCTCCCCATGCTGCTTTTCTCTCTAGAGCAGTCCTGGTCTTCCTTGGAGGTCTTGAGTAAGGAGTTAGGAACAACCTTTATGATACTGGAGTTGTAAGCAGGTGGTGGACACAGATGTGGTGGGATGGCTGTTAAGCTGTTGAGGGTTGTGTAAATCAGGAGAGAAGCATAGGGGATGTAGCTGTGACCACATCTCACTCCACGGTGAGAGGGACACACAGGAGACTGAGAAAGCAGTGGGAAGCATCCCATAGGTACAGCTGGCATCTCTCTGTTGTCCTGACCTGCATTCAGGATGGGTGCAGGCTTTGACCAGGGTCTGTGACTTCTGCTACCAGAACATACCTTCCTCTTTTCTGTTCCAGTGTTGATGAGCTGGCACTGAGCATGTACCCACCTGTGAACCCGTTGGCTGTGCGACTTAACGTGAGTATCTGCAGTACTGATACCTCAGTGTCTGAGTATCTCAGCACAGGGAATAGGAAGAAATCAGATTGGAGGGGTTTTGTGATTTCAGGCAGAGATGGGTGCTAGTAACTGCCTCAGTAATAATTTCTTAGGGATGAAGAGTGCCCTTTGTTCTTGCACACTTAACTTCCTTCAGGTGCACACACATTCTGTATCTGTACCTCTTCAGGGTACTTAAAGCTTCAGCTCTGAACTATAATTCATAGAGATTTCCAGTGATAGAATCTCAGGAAAGTGATGTCTAAGTACTGCAGATGTACTTCCCTCCTTGGGTAGTGCAGTCTTGTTCAAATAAAGCTGTCTATGAAATGAAAAACTCTTACAGTGAGTGTATTTAAGCACTGAAACAAGCTGCTTGGAGAAGCAGTGGAGTCTGCATCTTTGGCAACACTCAAAACTTGACTGGGCAATGCCCTGGCAACCTGACTGAACTTTGAAACATCCCTTGATCATAAATCAAGTACAAATCTCCTCATATCTGGGATTTATTTTTATTCTTAATCCTGGTTCATGCCTTTGGCCAGTGGCTTGATTTTTTTGGAATAAAAAAGAATTTCTTAATATCAAATGGCATTAAAATCAATCACTTGCAACTTTATGTATCAATTTTGTATATATAAATTTTTTTATATTAACTTTAATATCAATTACTAATTTCTAATAGGCTTATCTTTTATTAAAAATGCATTGTAATGTACGCTTTAAAAAACAGCCAGTTGGTTTTTTTTACCTGTCACAGCCAGGAGTAGGTTGGGGGGCACTTCCAATATGGCAGTGATGGATAACTTCATTCTGCATCAGGATCCATGGCAGTTTTATTTATTCTTGGCTTTTGTGCACCCCTATAGTCCTCTTTATTTTCCAGTACTGTTCAGACCCTCCTTTTCCTCTCATTTGGCTCACCTTATTTCCCTTTTGTTTCTTTCTAGGCTGCTAAATTGGCCTCAGTATTAAAGAAAGTCTTAGAGATTGCAAAGTGAGTATGAGCTGCAGTTTTGTGTGTGTTCCCTGCTATGAAGGTTGATACCTTCCTGCCTCGTGTCAAAGATGACTCATTTCTAGACAGTAGATGCTGGCATTTCAGAGCAATAATGATATCTAATCACAAAGGGATGGGAGTGAGAAAAAGATGCTAGGGATGATAGTGGTTCCCTTGTTTTGGGTTTGGGACTGCAGACATGAGTGTGGGCTCTTCCTTGCTCAAAGCCCTCTGGGGCTACAGCAGCCCTGTTTTACTGCTGGTTATTCAGAGCTTCACAATACCCCTGTTTTGCTGCATGCATAACACACCAGGAGGCTTTCCTAATGAATTTCCTCCACTTTTGCAGGACAAGCCATGTATGTCCACCATCAGAGGAAGGCTGGGTGCAGTTTCTAACTGGTGCAGTAGATCACAACATGAACAAAGTCAAGAACTTCACACAGGATCAGCTTTAACTCCTCCATGCCTACGTGTGTTGCTGCCACTGGCTCTGGCATCTGCATTTCCAGTGAACTTTGCTGTTCTTCAGCTCTTTGGAAAATGATAAGAACAATGTAGGAGAGAACTTCACTGCTACTTGGAAAAACTTCTCCAGGAAGTTGCCCTTTGCCATTTTGCTTGGATTCTTGGGATGAATGCAGTGCTGCTTCTTAACGTGCCCCATTCTTCAGACATTACAATGACTGTGGGGTTCAGAGAAAAATAAAATATTGCTAGATTTACATTAGTTGTTTTATCTATCTTCAGAGGGCAGAGGATATATACAGAATGAAAGGGTCTTGCTTCTCTTGCAAGCAACCCAGTGAATAATTATAAAATGTGCTGCACTGCTGCTATTTCCTGTCTAACTTTAGAGAACAGCGAATGAGCTTTCTCTTTTTTATTTCTTCAGAAAGCAGCAGAAAATATTGTTTACTACCTTACCAATGCCAAGGATCTATAGGGGGAGATATCCCCCTATATATATATATCCCTAGAGACATGCTACATCTATCATCACTTTAAAGCTCCAGGATATCCTTTACTTTGTCACAGGTAGGGCAAAAGACTTAAGCACTGGTGGGCGCAGCACAGGTGTGGTGAGAACTGCAATGTTGGCTTCAGCATTCAGCCCATCATTGTCACAGTGAGGCTCAGCTTCTAAAACTGCAGAGAGTGGACATAGTGGCAGATGGGAGAGAGTTGAGTTTGTGCAAATAATCAAAATTAGACATGGTTTTAAATATAGCTTTTATTAAACTGTTAACATCTGTGCTTGCCCGTGACCAGGGCACAGATCACAGCCACTCTTTTGTAAGGACCTGTTCTGAGCTGGGCCTCAGGCAGCTGCAATGTTGGCAGTTCTGTAGCTCTTCAGGTTCTGCAGCTGAAGGCAGCTGAGACGTGCAGTGAGTCTTCTGGGCCCTGCTTGGGTAGGGGTGAATGGGATTTGCAGCTCTTGAGTGCTTTTAGCTTGCACAGAGCCCAACCTGAAAGGAGAGAAAGGATTATACAGGAATTGCCTCTCTGTGGTTTTAGTTTCCCGTGTCTGGGATATGCATTAGCTGGACAGGAATGTGGTGCCAAAAAGGAAAGAAAAAAAAGAAATAGGAGAAAGCTGGCAGTTGAACTACCACAGATGAAATTGTCATCTAACAGTAGTTTGGGAGGGAGATAGGACAGGAGAGTTGAAACCTCCATGGGGACATCTAAGGGGACTGTCCTAATGCAGCTCCCTGAGACAAATGTGGGGTGTTTGTCATGTGAAGAGGAGCATGCCCCTTTGGTGGCTCTTGGCTAAGTCACATTTGCCTGGTTCTTCAGTAGAGAAGGGGAAGACACCACTGTCTTTATTGTTTACAGTGGGTAATGGACGGAAAGATGTCATAAACAGTACAGTTTTATTCCACTTAAGGATGTTCAAGTTGCTCATTAGAAAGCAATTGATTTCTCAACAGCAAATAGTTTCTAAATTTCATAGCTCATTTCAGTGACCTCTAACTTTGTCTTATTTCAAGTGTGTTTCTGACTAAGTCTTGGGGTATTTCTCTGGTTATGCTTTTTATTGGGGAGGTTGTCCTTTTGCTGTCTATGCCTTTGATGTTGAAGCTTTCATAGATGCCATATTGGCTTCAACTTAGGTATTACACATCTGTTGAAAGTTCTCTCAGCTGGCTTTTCTCCTTTTCAGTGTAAAAATCATCTGCATTATCTGTAAATAAAGGATAGGATGCTTGGGGCTTTTGTGCTGTAATTATATCTTCCTGCCATGTTGTTGCCTGGTTATTTTTGGGGACAGCCTTTCCTGTACGAGCGTTTCTCTTGCTTGTATTGTGTCTTTTTCCATGTGCTGTTCTTGGGTCATCCCTTTGCACTTACCTGTAATTCCTTTGTCTGTAAATGAGCCCTCGCCCTGCCACTGCTATCACACACTGCTCCAGGGGTTCCATGAGGGGGTTCTGGAGGCTTATCTTTGCTGTGCTTGGCTCATACTGGACCATGTTTTCTGGGAACTGTTGAAAGAAGCAAATGAGCTGAAACTGAGAGAAGAAATATTCTTCTATGATTAAAGGGACATGTGTGATATTTTTTTTGGTGCCTGAGGTGCCATTTGCAAGAAGAGGCAAAGTCCACTTTAATTTCTTCTGCTTTGGTTTCCCAGAGAGCCCCTGAACCCAGCAGAATTGTTTTGCTGCTTATGTCTATGATTTTCTTCCTACTGCAGTGGCAGAATGACAGCCCAATCTTACCTCAATGGTGAGAGGGGAATCACAAAGGCTGATTTCTTCCTGTGCCAGGTACATGTAGGAGGAGTCCTCGTCTCTCAGCACAGCAGTCAGCCTGAGCAGGTGGTTCTCTCCCAGCTCTTTTCCAAACCACGTGTAAGGCACAGAGACCTGCAGGTTATTGACTAGAACAGAGTGGTGAAATAGCAGGTGATGAGTCTGGGTCTGATGCAGTCTGGTCTTTCCCTGCATGACATCTAGGAGTGTTCAGTGCCCAACATTGTACTCAATTTTTGTACTAAAAGCTGCAGCATTTAAATGCTTAAGTGACCTCAAGTGGATTTGCAGATTGAAAATCTCTAAGGTGATGTTGCTGAAGTGTTTTATTTCACAGAATGGTTGAGGTTGGAATGGACAATAGTGGGTCATCTGGTCCAACTTCCCTGCCCGAGCAGGGTCATCCCAGGGCACAGGATTGTGTCCAGTCAGTTCTGGAATATCTCCAATTTGGGAGATTCCACAATCTGGGAAGTCACCTAGAAACAGCTATTCAGCCAACCTTTTGTAAACCTAGGGCTAGGAGAATTTTCCTGAAATGAGAGCAGTAGAGGACTTCCCTAGCCATGCACCTAGGAGAGTCCTTACCTGAATTGCTGTGAAGGTTAAAATGAAACTCTTCCTTCCAAAGTTGGGCAATGGGCACACCATTATAATGCAGAGCCTGGATCCCAACTACCAAATGAGTAGCCTTTTCTCTATCACTGTGGTTAAACACTTCAATGGAAAGTGTAATATCTTGTCCCAGTTGCAAAGAACTACTTGACTGGAAGTGGATGAAAAGGTTCACTGGCTCTTCCAGAGCAGTAGGAATGAAGATAAACTGTGTGCTGCTGCTGCTGGTTGTCTCAAGTTCCTTCATATTTCTGCAGGCTTTGTCAAGTGCTTTTTTTTCCTGGAGAGAACCTGTCACAAAAAGAAGGAAGCACATACTTAGGTACTCTTTCCTGTTTACTAGTGAGAAGCAGCAGAAGAATGGCATTTATTTCTCCTGGTAGTACTGTAGATAACTGTTTCTAAGAGCACAGAAGCATCCTTTTGTGCTTCTGGTTTGATCAGTTTGAAAGCTTCAGCTGTCAGGATATTCACGGATGTGGCTGACAGATTCTACTTGGGAATAGTTGTCATAGTTTTTAAAACCCCTTGGTGCTATCATCTCAGAGTAGAAGAGGCAGATGCTTTTTTGTTGCTGTAGCTAAGGCACAGTTCCATGCTCTCATGTGTAGAGAAGTTGCAGTTGTCTCCTGCAGCCATGGAGACAAGAAGCCACAGGTTAAGATGGGGTGTTATGGTTGAGCCAGGGAAACAGCACTCAGATTCTCAAGGGGAGCTACTTGTCAAGGAAGAGATTTAGGCAGTGTCTGAGAGAACAACAGTCCTTTTCAGAAAGCTGGAGTCTGAAATACATCTATCCATATTAATATTACAGAGGTAATGGGAGGTGCATGTACAGAGTGTAGAGATAACAGAAATCACAAAAGGTATTCCAGACATGAAAGTTCTTGGTTAAAAACACCTGGTCCTCCACAGACCTTAATGCCATTAAGCAGGGCAAAGTTTGGGTGATGACCTCTGCTTTGGCTTTGCAGACAAGGAGAATTAGGTGTTCTAGTGCCACTGAAGAAGGGAGATTAGTGAGAAGTGGTTGACCCTGGTGCTCTAATTTGGCTCTGCTCTAGTCTTTCACTCCTGACTTGTAATAGTGCCAAGGAACATGCTCAGCCCCGTGCCTGTCCCATACCTTCAGGATATTTGTAGTTTTGTGTGATGTCCTCACAGCGCTCACTGCCAACACTCTTGGTGCTGATGTTGTTACCGGTGTATTTTGTGCCACCAAAAGCTGGCTTGAGGGTGTCGTCTGCTTTGTGTATCCAGACGTGACACTTGGCATTGATGGCAGCAAAGAAGTAGCAGACATCATAATCAACTTGTGTGTCCCCTTCCTTGATGGCATGAACAGGGGCTGGCCCACAGAAGGATAGACCTAAGAGAAAATGTTGTCCAGTTAAGAATCAGATGCTTTCCCAACTAAACCTATCCCTAGTTTAGACCTATACTGGTGAAATATCTACTTTAGGAGGCCATTAGGAAGCAGTGATAGAGCTCTTAGAGCTACATTGAGCTGCACTAACCAAACAGATGAATGAGCTTTGTGCCTAAAGTCAACAGGGTGAGTTCCTGTCTTTTTGCATCCTTCCACTGGAAGATGGGAAAGGAGGAATATTGAACAGCTTTATTTGCCCCTGCTTCACTTCCCTCCTGCTCAAGTCCTTACCTTTGCTTTTTTCCTGGCAGGTGGCATCCAGTGCCTGCCACCCACTGTACTCTGGTGGCAAGTCTGAACGAGCCATCCAGCATTCATTCCAAACGTGGAAGGTCCTGTAAGAGGCAACAGCATGAGCTTATATCCAGGGACTGAGCCCTGAGGTACAGAAAGCTTTTGCCAAACCACAGCTGGCTAATGCTCCCTTGAAAGAGTTCAGTTCATATTGAGAAGAGCGGAGTTGTGTGTGGAGAAACAAGTGGAGTTTCTGTAGCTGGACTGGGCTATCATTCTTCCTTTGTGGGCTCTAGAAATAGGGCACTCTTGAGTTAGGCTTGCAGCAGTTTATCAAGGACAAATCTTGTAGACAGGATCTCAGCTGAGCTGTCTCCTGTCACCTCCTTGCAGCTGTTTTACCTCTCTCCTTTCCCCCGTGTTTCATTTCCCACATCCAAGTATCGTCTCAAATTCTTGCTTGGGCCCTGCCATGTGTTCTTACCAGACACGAGCACTCTTGTCCTGTGTCAGCAGGGTCCCATCTTCATCATAATACTCATCCACACTCAGGCTGCTCTTGGTGTTGTGAGCCCATGTAAAGCCAGTGACCACCCTGGTAGGAATTCCCAGGCACCTCAGAACTGTGCAGAAGAGAGAGCTGTGAATCAGTTGTGCATCCTGCCCTAAGGGTGCCTCTGCTGG